CGTCCACATTTTATTAAATTCAGATGCACGTCATTATACAGTCCAGAAAAATGAAAGAATCCGTTTTATCTATGAATATATGACAGCATATGTTCATATTACAATATCATGTGATATATATATATATATCACACATGTATATACACACAATTATGTATATATATATGTATATATATACACATGTATTTATATACATATATATGTATTTATATATATTCATATGTATTTATATACATATATATGTATTTATATATATTCATATGTATTTATATACATATATATGTATTTATATATATTCATATATATTTATATACATATATATGTATTTATATATATTCATATATATTTATATACATATATATGTATTTATATATATTCATATATATTTATATACATATATATGTATTTATATATACATATATATGTATCTATATATATTTATAGATATAAATATATATATGTATATAAATTAAAACTCTGATGAACCAGATTCTACAAAAACATTACATTTAATTTTTATAGGTTTTCTTCATCATTTGATGTATTTGCACTCATTGTGTCTACTTTTAATGTTCATTTTAGATGTGTGGTTTTTTTTCTTGTTCACATATATACATTTTATTTTTAGCTTTGCTTTAAAGTTCTTGTTTTGTGATTTGTACATTTGTGGGTTAAAATAAAGTTGAATTGAAGGTCGTCTCTTCTTTAAACATGTTTGAGGGAAATATTCCGGAGATCCAATAGTTTTGTGTCTTTTTATGATTTTCAGCTGAGTTAACAGTCATTAAATTGAAAACAGGATTTCATGATGAAGCTGGCACCGTTCATTTTTTATTTTTTTTATCTTCAACGCTCTGCTGGTCTCACAGATCCTCTCCTCCGGAGGCTGGGAGGCTCATCCTCCCAGCTCCAGCTCAGCTGGTGACTCACAGAGCCTGTTCCAAGGCTCCAGCCTCACGTAATCATGAAGGTCCGACCCGCGCAGACAGGCGGACAGAGACGTGTCTGCGAAGAACGGTGGAAGCGATTTTAAAAAACATTTTACGTGTAAAAAAATAATAATCATTTTTAAATCGCTTCAGCAATTTTTTAAAACATTTTTTGTATAAAAACAAAATATTAATTTATTTAAAAATCGCTTCCAGCGTCCGTCCCAGACTGTCCAGTCTGCCTGACTTCCGGGTGGGATCAGGAGTCAGCCATCATGATTACGCGCGGCCGGGGTCTGGCAACGTCCATCTGCGAGTCCCCATCTCCAGCTTCGCAGTGACCTGCGAAGCTCTGAGCACACAAGGCTGGTATCCGGAACCCGAGCCTCCGAGTCGGCACATCGATGGATCTTCCGCGGTGACCAGCTGAACTTGGAGCCGAGGAGATGACGCTCTGCCCGGCCTGGCGCTCCGAGGCTCCGGAGGGAGGATCGGGGTACACCAGCAGAGCTCCATCCAGCTTGCTCTGAATTATGTTGTCGGCCACCAAGCACAAAAAATGCCAGCACATCAACATTAGACCAAGATGTTGTCAGTATTGTTTTAAAATCTTTAAAATAAATCCAGCCGCTGCTCCAGTCCGAGAAATTGCAAATGGCGGATTATTGTTTTGAAATGTTTCTGAAGGATCCAGTGACTCTGCCCCCGACTCCGCCCCCGACCAATCAGTGACTGACAGTGTTCTGACGTCACGTTTTTGTACCTCTTCGTACCGGTTAGAACCACAGAGCCAAGGGTACTGAAAATAGTAACAGGTGCTAAGTACCGGTACTAATGGAAAAGCCTCAGAACCGGGCCAATTAGGGTCGAGTCGGCCCGTACCGGTACTAATGGAAAAGGGGCATTAGAGAGGATGGGTCTCTCTCAAGATGTAGTGCGCACAATCCAGGATTCACGTGCTGCATCCACCACAGCGCTGTACACATCAAAGTGGACAGCTTTTCAGCGCTGGTGTACAGAGAAAGGTGTAGAGGCCACTTCATGTCCACTAGGTGGCGTGCTGTCTTTTCTGCAGCAACTGATGGATAGAAATCTGGCATTCAGCACGATTTAAACATATGCTGCAGCCATCTCTTCCTGTCACTAAGGTTTTGGGGACAGAACAGCTTTTAATCATCCGCTGATGAAGCGTTTTTTAAAAGGTGTACAGAGATGCAGGCATGTTTCACGCCCACTTGCTCCAGTGGGATTTAACGTTGGTCCTGCGAGCCCTGATCAAAGCTCCATTTGAGCCACTGAATCAGGTTCCGATTAAATTCTTGTCTCTTAAAACAGCCCTGCTGCTGGCTTTAACATCCGCTAACAGGGTGAGTGATTTATCTGCCCTCTCTGTCGCTCCGTCATGTCTCAGAAATCAGGTTGACGCCAGCTCAGCTGATCTGAGACCTAACTTAGCGTTCATGCCTAAAACATCACAAGCTCTTTTAAATCAAGAGCATTTATCGCTGGAGGGTTTTTTCCCTCCCCCCCACAAATCAGAAGAAGCATCTTTCCATCTTCTCTGTCCTGTGTGGGCGTTGACGTGCTACATAGCACGCACGGCCGCAATGCATCAAACTCACCATCTGTTTGTGCATTATAGAGATGCATCTGCAGGTCGCCCGTTATCCACCCAGCGCCTGTCACACTGGCTGTGTGAGGCCATTTCTGAAACCTACAGAGCATCAGATTTAGAGCCACCCATCAACCTCAGGGTGCACTCGACCAGAGGTATCGCATCTTCAACTGCTTTGCATAATGGTATGACAATGCAGGACATTTGCACTGCGGCCGTGTGGTCAACACCCTGCTCATTTATTCGCTTTTATCTACGTGATGTGACGGCTCGTTCCATGACACATTCTGTCCTTAGTGTTTTAACAGAATGAATATTGTTGTTTCATGGAACTCCCGTTTAACTCACATCTGACTGCATGCATTACAGTATGAGATGTTATCAGTCACAAGTTGTGACTGTTGTTCTGGTTCTATTGTCACTAATCAGTTCATGACTATTGTTACCAATCGGTTCATTTGATTAATAATCAGTTCACTTGTTATTAATCTGTTCATATTGATCAGCCGTGAATCTGTTTGGTTCACGGCCTTTTTTTAGCATCTTCCTTTCCCCGTTGAAAGCCTTCCGGGGCGCACATGCACTCAGAACGCATAGCTACACAGGACGCATCTGTGCATGGTACGCATAATTACACAACGTGTAATTACGCACATAGAGAGCTGAGTGACGAGACATTTTTGGGCAAGATGCTGCTTCATATGGTGTTCGAATGGACCCAGTGAGGCGAGGACTACATCTGCTTCGCCCTTAACCCACCAGCGACAGCCTTAAAGGGCAAAGCCTATATGAAATAGAACGTTGGTTACGTACTGTAACCCCAGATTCTATGAGTATAGGCGTAGCCCTTTAAGCGTCGGGCCTCACTGGCTCCTAAATGGCTGAAGAAAAAGCTATTTTGGAGCCGATTACCCGCTCTTAACGTAATTTATACGGACCGGGTGGGGCCCACACAACAGGTGGGCATGGACTAAATTTTTCAGTGCGATGCTTTACATGACGGGATAAAACCCACCAGCGGCAGATTTTAAAGGGCTACGCCTATACTCATAGAATCTGGGGTTACAGTACGTAACCAACGTTTTTGCTGAATTAGGCTGAAAAAAGGTCTAAAGAGTGCCAAAAATGTGGAATTAACTGAAAAGGTTAAAATTAGCAGAAAACTAGCTCAATAGTAGCTGAAATAGCAGAAAAAGCTGAAAGGAGCATAAAACAGCTGAAATAAACAGCTGCAATTAGCTGAAAAAAAGTTTAAGTTTGCACAAGGAAGCTGAAAGAAACTGAAGCAGAACAAAAAGTGAAAGGAGCAGTAAAAGGTTGTGAACACATCTAAAGATTTGACGAATGTAAAATGAGCTCAGTTCATTTTCCATGAAGAAAAAGTGTCAGGAAATGTTAAATATTTGAAAAGCTAAAGTTGCACCAATACCAAAAGTCATAGCAGGATTGTCCTGAAGAAGATGAACATTTTGATTTATGATTTGTTGAAAAAGCACTAAAACTGTTGAACGAGAACGATGCTGAAAAAAAAAAAAAGACGAATGCATCACAATAGAGTGACTGTTTCATAAACGTTCACTCTATTATTATGGGGGGAAAAACTCAGAATTAATCATTTCAGTCGCTGGATCACAATCATCAAAACACTTGAACAAAATGTAAAATTAAATTTCCTGATTTTTCATTCTTAGACCATTGTCATAAAATAGCTGACCCTTGTGGTCTGTGGTGTCTGCCTGTAATGAACAGATCTACTATAAATATAAAGATGTTTTTAAATCTCCCTCTGTGTCCTGGTGATGCTCATGTTTGGATGTGGGGTTTGTAACACTTAATCACAGAGATTATTGTGTTTTACACCCTCTGAATTAGTGGACTGAATGACTTTACATTGAAACACGGACATTATTGAAATAACTAAGACTTTTACCAGATGTGTTGGATGAGACAACCTTCGTGTGAAGAAAATCATCCTGATTATCTCTGTATAATTCGCACCCTGGTTACTGAGTTTGGTCAAAAAAACTACTTTAAAAATTATCTTGTTTAGTATTTAGACATTTAAAATAGAAAAATAAATGCTAACATTTTTTGAAAATTACTACCAGTAGCTAATTGTGTGCTCTCTGTTGGTGATTGTTTCAACTTTAGATCAAACCGAAATAAACATTTGACTGAACATGAGTTAAATAAAATTATTTTTCCCTACATTGTGTTCATCACTCAGTTCTTCAAAATAGTCAGCTCAAGCAGTTTAACATGTTAAATGTTTAACACGTATGTTAAATGTTTAACACGTTAAACATTTAACATGTTAAATGACTACTTTAACAGACAACACCCAAAATGTCTTACCAGAACATATAAAGGAGCTGAGTACACTATAGGGATGTTTGAAATACATTTAGGTTTAGGTTGTCACAGAATGTGATTTGTTGTTGGAGACAGAAACTTACATCGATGATGAAGTCGGTGAAAGGTCTGAGGCTGTCCCGTTCTTCTTGGCTCCTGCAGAGCTCCCGCCGGTGTTTGACCAGGAACAGACAGAGGTTCTTCTCCTCCCGGGACACTTTCAGCCTGATGTCCATCTTTTCCACCTCTTCTGGGCAGCGGAAGAGAGCAGCCAGGATGGTCATGGGTTTGGGAGAGTGGTCCTTGGCGTTCTGCCACACACGCTTCATCTCATCAACATCGCCACCTGGAGGTAAACCTGAGGTGCAGCAGGGACAAATTATCAAAAGTTTTGAATCTTGTTTATAACATGTGAGTGCCTGCACTGAGGTTTAAAACAATTAATTAAATATTCAAAAACCACTAAATTATCTGGATGAGCAAAACATTAAATTAAAATGATCTTTACACCCTTTTAGGTTGTGGTATTCTTGAACACTGAGGCCACTTGTTTATTTATTTGTTTGCTTCAGAGCAGCAAACTGACAAACTTCCTGCTTTTGGAGAGTAGGTCAGAGTGATGGTACTAAGGTAATCAATACATTTGATCAGCAGCACCCAGCTGATGCTGAACCTCTCAAATCTTATGGAAGCAGCAGGAGAGGACTTTACTTCTCACACAGCTTTTGTTTTATTTAATAACTTATGATGTGGAGTTTTGCACACTTGAGTTTAAATTTGAAACATTTCTGACCCTGGCAACAACCGGATCATTTTTATTACATATCCTGAAAGATAAAACCATTTAATTATTTTCTTTGTCGCATGACTGTATAACTTCATCTGTGGGACCAAGAGTACTGAATTAGGCACATTATGCACCCACATGTATTACACAACATTTTATAGAAATGGACAAGAAAAGACCTTGTTTTATCTTTGACCTTGACCTTAGAACTGGGGTGATGAAAAGATTGTGCGGCACGTCATATAGTGGTGGTCAAAATTGTTACATTTTCTTGAGATCAGAAGTTACGATGCAGATAAACAAATTCCTTGTTTAAACTTTGACCTTGATTTGTGACCTTGGCTGAGGTGATGACGTGTACGTGACACTCCGTCTAGTGATGATACATATGTGTTGAAGTTTTGTTAAATATCCTTGAGTGGATCAGAAGATATGGGTGGGACAAGAGGACGGACGGAGACTAGATCATAATACGTCCATCTTTGATGGGCATGTAATAAAAACTGATGGTAAAAGGGATTTATAGTCTTGTTTAATAAAACCTGCCCGGCCTTCTTTATAATACGAAGACAAAATGAACAATTGCATCTGAACATACTGAAATACTTATCTCGTTTTGTTTCTCACCTAAATACTGAGCCAGCTCCAGGTCATAGATGAGCTCCAGCAGGTGAGCAGCATGGTTACCAACTACAAGCTTCTTCAGCTCCACCCAGATCCTTTCTCCTGCTATAGATGCCAGTCCTCTGCCGTTTTCCCTGATGGCAGCCAGAGTCTCAGGCTCATGGCTGTCAGGCTTTAAAACCACCCGGCCATAAAACCTGGGATGAAGCATCAGAGCTGTGATCAATGTGCCTACTTTAAAACCACAGGCAGCATTTGTTAAGGTTTATATGAGCGAGGCAGCCGACCTGAAGTATCTCAGGATTCTCAGGTAGTCCTCTTGTATCCTTTGTTCAGCGCTGCCAACAAAGCGCACTTTATGGTTCTGGAGGTCTTCATATCCTTTAAAATAGTCGTATAATGTGCCATCAAGCCCTGAAAGGAAGAAGAAAGTTAAAAAAAAGATGATGATTTATTCTTTACCCTTCTGTTACAGCTATAGTGATCTTTAAGAGTCAACATTACATCATTGTTACTCCTCGTTCACATAAAGACTCAGAAATAAACAAGTTAAAGTTGATTGATTACCTAAAAACATGGAGTTAATGGTGAGGTCTCTCCGCTCGGAGTCTTTCTGCCAGTCAGTGGTAAACTCCACCTCAGCATGTCGTCCATCTGTCTGAACATCCACCCGCAGTGTGGTCACCTCAAAGTTCTCATTGTGCAGCTGCAAAAGATAATAATAATAATCAATTTAATTTGTAATGCACTTTTCATTAACAAAAATATCTTAAGTGCTACAAAGTGCAACTAAAATCAAAAATCTACTAAAATCAATGATAAAATCAATTAAAAGATGAACAACACATACAAGATTCAAGGTTCAAGGAGACTTTGTCACATGTGGTACATGAGGTAGAACTAAATTGTGTACACAGGGTCCAGTTACACCCAAAGAAGCAACATATATAAAAAGTATAAAAGTACAAAAACAAACAGTATATAAGGATCTAAGATACAAACTAACAATAATAATCTAAATATGGTGTATTAAACAGCAGCCTGAACATGAGTCTGTTGTGAGCAGAAGGGTATGAATAAAACAGCTTAAAGGCAAGAAATCAGCAGCATGGACAATCAGCAATACATATAAAGTGTCAAATCTTCAATTAAAGTGACATTACAGTGATTTTTCTGGTTAGAGATTCA